TATGTCTTCCTCTGTAGCCAGTGGCATCTGATTAGGCCTGATTTGGTGGGGAAAGTCAAGTCTAGGCAGTTGGTTCAGAGAGATAGAATCTGGTCAAGGCATATGTATCAGCTGCAGCAGACTAAAGAAAATTGTCCTCGTAGATAAAGGGCAGATGAAACCAGAATTATGGACTATTCCAAGTAAGCTTCTCTTACTGAAGGTTTTTCCTATAAGAACAATAGCAGCAATCAGCTAAATCCAACTGAAGTCTTATAGTGAAAGCCACAATCTGTAGTGTGGTCGGCTCCACCCTCTCTGAAGAATCTTGTTGAAGTATTTAGAATTACTCACCTGATTTCTCAGTCTAAGACATTTGTGAGGCTGGAAAAATTGAGGTTTTGGTGGGGACTCATCCTTGAACTCAGAGGATGAAAACAACACAGTATCTTCAGCCTCGCTAAATATAGGATTCTTCATTTTCAGTCAGCTCCTGCACCCTTTCTGCTGGATTCAGAATGTTCAGAAAGCTGGTATCATAACAGTATAAAGTGGGACTCAGTTATTCTAAATCATTTGTACATCCTGATTTCCTTCTTTGTAGCTATGGTTCTTTAGACTGATGTACAATTTCATTATACAAAAATGGTCTTGGTATAGATTTAAAAATGACATTCTCCATTTAAGGGCACAATTTCAAATGCATCATGGTAGATAAAAAACAGATACTTTTCATATGGGGCTGTTTGCCCTGACTCAACCTCCAGAGCTACTTGGAGGAAGTTCAAAGGATGTAATATATGACTATTGGCTTTGGTATCTTTCTCTCCAATATTTTACAGATGGAAAATAAAAGCAACCTCTACATTGTTTTAACATCAAGGCTTTTAAAAATAATCCCTATAATGGGGGAAAAGTCCTGAAAGACTATCAACTCATCTTCAGATATATATGGGCTCTGAAGGAGATGGTGTCAATGTTGTTCCAATGTCAACTAAGTGTGGTAAAATAATTCTGTTCTGATGGCCTTTTTGTTCCTAAACTGATTAATAACACTCTTCTTGCTTTTTCCCATGTTTTTTCCCCTCCAGCCTGGCTCGACAATGGTCTGTTGAGGATGAGGAGGAGCAGGAGAGAGAGCGCAGGCGAAGACATAGGCAACTGAATTCCACCTCTGAGGCAAAGGAGGAGGAATCCTCCAGCACAGTACAGAACGTGGCCAGGCAACCATCAAACAGGTATCTGTAGGTGTACTGAGCTGTTGGGGAGGGGACAAATTCTCTTGTGCAGGTGCTGGAAATTGGAGCCAATTCAAATGATTTTGGAAAGAGGCAATGACTTTCTGTTTGTTTGAACTAGCATTATCTTAGGAAGTGTAGGAATTGACATTTAGGGAGATAGGTGTGGATTAGATGGAACTAGTTTATACTTTGGATCCCAACCTTTTCCCCACATAAGCAGAATAGAATTCATGTTTTGGTATCTTCTCCCCTTTTCAACCCTACAAGCGTCTTCTAAATTGTGAGATCCTTTTGGGGAATGATGTGTGATGTGTGTAGAGAGTTGAAGACAGAATAGGAATTGACAGAATCTCCTCACCTTTCATGAATAGAGGAGCAACTCAAGATCCCAATCTATATTTTTGGACAACTTGTAAAAGGATCATCAACAGAGCATTTTCTTGCCACTCCCAGGCTTGTTTCTATAATTCTGGTAGGCTAGTAATAGATAATGAAAAAGTACTTCTACCTGAGATCCTGGAGCTGTGCTGTCAGCCAGAGTAGGCTTTCTAGGCTAATTACACATAAACTCTGACCTATACTTAATGAAGTACCATGCTTTAGAAAATTTGGAACAAAGGTTATTGTTCCAAAATAATTCCATTCTCCTTCTTTCCCTCTTTTCCACCCTCTATGTATATCTGTGTGAGTGTGAATGAGAAAATGTACATGTTAATACAGTGCAGGATTATTTGGTCTTTTTCTGTTCTATGACTCCACCTTGACTAAGATGTACTGAACTGATCATCTGAACATTTCAAGTCATATTCCAGACTTGAAATATAGGTCATTATCTTAGATTGGTTGGACTATTGGTACCTCTAGCTCGGAATAGTTGCCATTGGTTGTTGGTGATTGTCAGGGATTTCCAATACAAAGCTTTCCAATCATTTGACCGTATTTATTTATTTATTTTGCCAGAAATTAAACTGGAGAGTTGGGCATAACTTAGTTATGACCCTCCTGCCAAATTCATAGAAAAGGAGGAAAACTCAGAAACCTCACAGTAATATTTGCCAGATCAGAAGGGAGTAAATAGAGATTGTAGTTGCTTTTTAAACAATGCACAAGGTGGTTAGAGAACTCTTTCAGCTTTCCACAATCCTTAAAAAGTTCAGCATGCCTAGAGCAGCACCGGGCTCCTTGCAGCAAAATATCTTTCCTTCATCAGTATTTTCTACAATGATGAATACTACGTGGTCATAATGTATGTTTCAGGAGGTGCAGAGAAGAAGCTTTCAGAGTGTCAGTGCATTGGTTTTTAAAAGTTGAAGAAAATGATAAGAGATGTCTTGGCCCCATGTATTTTTTAAAAATGAAATGTAAACTTCATCTGCCTTGTCCCAGTTGTTACTGTTTTTATGGAGCAGTATGAATATTAGCTAGGCTTTGTTCCAATTAGCATGTGTTTCACCATCACTTCAGTAGGAGAGAAATTCTCTGGTCTTTCTCAATAGCATGAGTTGCAGAATTCCTTTTTCATTTTGGTCATGGACCTTCCTTCTATGTTTCCCTTTGCATGATGTACACATGCAAACTATCTACACAGAAGATACGGACAGCAATTTTTTTTGCCTAACATTTCTGTGCCACACTTTTGATTGTTATATAAAAGTAGCTGCCCAAAATTTCCAAAACAACCAGGTCATATGAATACAGTCCTGCCTCTGTAACAGCTCTGAAGGACCTATGAGACTCCTCATAGCCTGGTTTGTAAATCTCATTCCTGTGTAAATGGATTTGAATCATGAATTCTTCTAAAATCTAGCCTCTAGTGCCCTCTAGTGCTGTTCATAGGTTTCCTTTTCTTTGTACTGTAGGTTTGATAGTTCCTTAGAGGCAAAGCTGCTTGACTTGGAAAATTCAGTGCTGAAAAATGAGAAGACTCAAGCAGATACAGTAAATAAACTGGAAGGGAGAAGAGTGAGGAGGAGAGCAGAGTTTTTAAATAATACAAAACAAGAAAAGAAAACACCAGTGAGTACCAAGAAATTTGAAAAGGAACCTGCTAAAGAGAATACTGCATCTCCTCCAGAACCATCCAAAGAAGAGGTAACAGCAGGAAAATGTGAAACCCTAATTCAGCAAAAGGACCTTATAGAAGAAAGCCATCAAATCCAGAGTCAGAAAAAAGAGGAGGTCACACTGGAGAAACATGAAGCCTTGAACCATGAGAAGGACCTCAAAACAGACATAGATCAGGTCTTTAGTGAGGAGCAGAAGGCTCCAAATGTATGCGAATCTCAGAGACTGGCTGTGGTCCAGAATGAGGTGGCCCCCCAGCAGCCTCAACGAGCTTCTTGGGAACGTAAAAGCATCAGTCGGCTTGAGGTGAAAATTCAGCCAAGAGCAAGAAAGTTCACTGATCCTGCTGGAGCCACACCTGCTTCTGAGGCACCCCAGGTACTTAGTCTTGGTATTTTACAAGGACAGAGAAAGTTTGATGAAAAGTTAATTGGGCAGAGATGCAAATTAGATATAGAGTAACTTGAACATGTGGAGTTATTACATCAAAGTTGGCAGCTTCATTCAGCAGTAGGGTTAGAGGATCAAGAAATAGCTGAGCAGAGATGGCCCAAGGCAGGGTTTAGCAACACGGAGCGGCTTAAACTCCCAAGAAGCTTCCCTGCAACCCCAGCATTAGAAACATCCAATCTCAAAATCTTGTAAGATTTCTCATTAAAAGGCTCTCACCTGAGGATGCTGAAGGGTTGTATGATATTATCAAAACTTCATATGGCTTTGGAGATAATGATAAGATTAATGACGGTTTTGCCATGATCTTGTCATAGATCAAGATTGTGCAAGGATGCTCAGGGTCAGAAAGAGTGGTCTACTAAAGGTTTATGAGAAATCGAAAGACAAATTATTGAGTCCACTATTAGTGGATGCTTATTTAGTATAATTAATCAATATCTTAACTATATTTAGAAAGAGCTGGATAACAGCATTGTTCTCTGCTGCTCGCAGCACGAATTACAATATACAATTTAACAATACATATAATAAAATAACCATTTTGGACATAAATATTTCAGGAGGGTTCTAAAAGCAAATAGCTAACAAATTTGAAGACTATATTATGCTTCAGAATATATAGACTTTTAAACAGTATGGAAATATTTTACAAAAGTGTATACTTGATGCTAAAATACTCTAAAGAAAGGGCCAAAAGACCCCTTTGGAAAGCCATTTCACAGCCATTTCATATTGCAACATTGAAGTTGTTTTGCTTTTTTCTTGCTGTCATAATTACAATTATTTTCATTTATTCATGTTACACTTATATCCTACCTTTTTTTCTAGGAGCTCAAGCTAGCACACTTGAAGTCTTCTCTCATTTTACTCCCGCAGCAGCAGCCCTATGAGATTAGTTGGTCTGAGAAATAGTAACTGGCCCAAAGTCACACAGAAAACTATTTTATTCTGTGGGGTCTTCCTGGGTCTCATTAGTCTCAATCCAACACTGTATCTTCTATACCATACTGGATCTAGATATTCTATACTATGAAAATTGTAATGAAACTTTAGTGGATATAACTTTAACTCAGAAAACCTAGAAATGGTAATCAGACCATCTCTTGAATACGCTGTAGGATCTACATAGATGTGCTTAGTAGTAAGTCTTACAGAGTTCAAAAGGATTTACTTCCAATTTTTACTAAAAATGTCTGTGTTGAAGCAGCCACAGGCTCTTTTCTCAGTCCTCCTCCCTGTTCTTCCTTCCTTCATATTTTTCTTCCAGGCCCCCGAAAAAGCTATTCCCAAACCAAATGCTAAAACTGTAAGGTCTCCCTCTGGTCAAGAAGGGATGGATGCTCCTGCACGAATTTCTGAACCCCAGATTACCTATAGTAGCTCATTCAACCGGATCAGTCCAAGGACAATCTCATTCCGGGTAAGGATTTATTACAAATTAGGAAAAGGCTCCTTATTTAAAAAGGATAAAGGCCCTGTGGTAATGATACAAGCAATGTTCTACATCCACAAAGGCAGTGAAGCTGCATGACTAACACTACAATCAATGTTTACATTTGTTGTTGTTTAGTCGTTAAGTCATGTCCGACTCTTCGTGACCCCATGAACCATATTGCGCCAGG